ATATTGTCAGACATTTTATTTATAAAAGGAAAAAAATTTTTTTACCTGTAATGACTGGTTCCTGCCAGAGGTGGCGAAAGAGTCCACTTGAATCCACGTGGAGAGTTGATCTGAAATGAACCTCAAGACCGAAATTTATTCAAAGTGACCCCTTCGGGGCCAAATGTGGCGGTTTGTGTTGTAAAACCGCAAATATTTAAGCTTCCCTGTTCAGTTCCAAACGCCAAGGCAGAGAGGGAGGGGTTAACTCCTCTGGCGCTGCGCTGGCTGCGAGCCTTGGCAGCCTAGGACGGGTGTGCGGGAGGTGCGCTGTTGTTGCTAGGAACAAAGCGGTGCGGACCTAAAGCGGGCGGGCGGGTGGGGGGGGGGCAAGCAAGCAGGCGCTGTGGCGATCGCGTTCGGGGCCGCCATCGCGTGCGGGCGGGGGAGTCGGCAGCCGTGCGTGGCTGACCGCGTCCGCCCAGGACCTGCTACGGGCGCAGCGGGACTAAAGAGCGGGTGCACAAGGGTGTGGAGCTGTGGCCGAGCCAGTGCACGTGCTGCTGTGATTAGCACTAGTCAGTGAATGCATAATAAGTGCATGCATAATAAGTGCATGCATCCTTAATTTCCTCCTCTCTTCTCGGTCCTCTTCAAGCCGCTCATTAAGCTTTAGGTTGTCCATTGCAGTTTGGTCTTTAGGCAAACAGTATCTTTGAAAAGAGACTTAATTTGGAATTCTAAGCACACAAAAGTTAAGTTTGAGTTTCTTTAAAGTTGAGTACATTATATTATTCTAGACACCAGATGTTCCTTAGTGTCTAAGGTTATCATTATATTCCTTTGTGTGTGTGTGTGTGTGTGTGTGTGTGTGTGTGCGCGCGCATGTGTGTGCATGTGCTTACCTCCCTGCCTGCCTGTCAGGGTGTATGTGCATGGGAATGTGGGTGCCTGTGGAGGCCAGAAGTATAAGATCTCCTGGAGCTGAAGTGACAGAAGATTGTGAATCTCCTGATATGGCTTCTGGGACTCAAATTTTGGTGTTGTAGAAGTTGCTTATATCCTCTTAACTGTTGAGCCATTTCTCCATCCCTGGATTTTCTTTTACTTGTAATTTTGCTTTTTGAGACAGGGTGTCAGTTTGTAACCTTGGAGCAATATATAGACAGATATCTCTGATGTTAGATTCAGAGGTATCTGCTCTGCCTCCGTAGTCTAGCGCTGGGTTAAGGGTGTGCACCGTCATGCCCAGCGCAAGTCACTTCTCAGATATGTCGTTCTCAGTGGATCCTTTGGATCTGTAGTTTGGCCTTCATCTTCTCAATGTTTCCAAGAGCAGATTTTGTTTTAACCACATACTTTATTTAATTAATTGATTAATTAATTTACACTTCCTAACTGCAGTTTTCCCTTCCTATTCTCCTCCCATTCCTGCCCTTCCCAACTTCTCTCTGCCCCCACCCTATCCACTACTTCTTCATTTCAGTTCAGAAAGAAGCAGGCCTCCCATGGATATCAACAAAGCATGGCATATCAAATTTTGGTAGGACTAAGCACCTCCTCTTGTATTCAGGTTGGGCAAGGTGATCCAGTGTGAGGAGTAGGCTCCTAAGAGCCAGCCAAAGCACCAGGGACATCCCTAGGGGCCGATAGTTTTAATTAGTTTTATATATTTGCTTTTTTTTTTTTTTTGTCTTAATGAGGGGCTTTCTTCCTATCTCAAAATTGCCAAGATTTTCTCTGATAATTTACTTTTTCCTTTCCTTTCCTTTCTTTCTTCTTCCTTTCTTTTCTCTGTTTCTTTGTTTCTCTTTTTCCTTTTTAAGACAGGGTTTCTCTCTGTAGCCTGGGCTGTTCTGGAACTTTCTCTGTAGACCAGGCTGGCCTCAAACTCAGGGTCTGACCTGCCTTTGGCTCTCCAGTGCTGGGATTAAAGGTGTGCACTAGCACCACCACCTGGCAATGATTTTATTTAGAACTCTTGTTAGTAGTATTTTCTACATTAAGATCTATTATTATAAGGATGAGCAGGAAAATGTATGGGGATTCTGTCAGCAGAGGTGCTTTTGGGGTCAGTAGTAATTGCTGTGTCATTTCCACTGAATTCCTGAGGTGTACCTGAGGTGAAAAGCAAACCTTTTCACAAGTTATGTTCCCCACTGTGTATTCACAAGAATCACTTTGTTGACCATATTTAGGCACTATATAATCTTTAAAAAGTAAAAGGCTGTGTTAAACTGGATGTGGTGCTGCCTTCCTTCATAATCTCAGCACTCAGGAGGCTGAGGCAGCAGATACCTGCGAGTTTTAAGGCTAGCTTGGTCTACCTAGTAAATTTGGGCAAGCCAGGCTTACATGAAGAGACCCTGCCTTAAAAACAAACAACACACACAACTAAACAAAGAAACAAGAACCCTTCAAAGTTCTTGAATCAAAATAAAAGTAATGTATCCCAGCCTCCCTCCAAAAACCCATACATCAGTGTCATCTCCTTTAGTGGTATGTTGCATGAATGAACGAAATGTAACTTTTGGTCTAAATAGTTTCTCCTGTGTTCTACCAGAATCTTGAGCTCAACGATGATACTGTTCTGAATGAAATAAAGTTAGCAGACAGTGAGCAGTTTCAGATGCCTGACCTGTGTGCTGAAGAGCTTGCTGTCATCCTTGGAGTCTGGTATGTTAATGGCTGACTTGGCTGAGTTGTCTTCATCAGAACCTCCCTGTACAGTCGGAATCTTATGCTGCTTATGAAGGTGGAGAATTCTCAGGCAGTCTGTTGAGTTTGTAGATTGAAAGCTCTATAAGCAAATGTCTTTGTTATCCTCTGCTGGTGTAGAGCTCTAATAACATATGAAGTAGAGGTGAGAATGACTGTGAGAGCTGCATGGAGAGGCTGGGGTGTCTGTGGGTGGTTTTCACTGAACCTGGTGCCCTCCTATTCACTGCCCAGTGAGCCCTGGGGATCCTGTCTCTGTCCCCTTGGACTAGGGTTGCAGATGCACATGAACACACATGGCTTTTATATGGGTGCTGGTTGTCTGAACTCAGTCTCATGCTTGCATCCCCACTTCTCCAGCTGAGAATGACTGTTGCCTCTAAGGATACGTGTACTTGGAGGTAGATTTATTTTTAATAGATAGAACCTTATGCTATTCTGTGGAATAGTTTTGTCTTTTCTTTCTTTCCTTCTTTCTTTCTTCTTAAATTATGACTGGGTTATTCTTGTGGTTGGTTCTTGTTCTTTCTTATTTTGAAATGAGCCCCTGACATTACTCCCCATCTGTGTTCATTATCCACTTCACAGTTGGAAGTTTTTTTTTTTTTTGGTTTTTCGAGACAGGGTTTCTCTGTGGTTTTGGAGCCTGTCCTGGAACTAGCTCTTGTAGACCAGGCTGGTCTCGAACTCACAGAGATCCGCCTGCTTCTGCCTCCGCGTGCTGGGATTAAAGGCGTGCGCCACCACTGCCCGGCCGCACAGTTGGAAGTTTTGCGGAAGAAATGGACATTGATCATTTTGTGTGAGGTTCTTACTCTGTCTTACGGCTTCTAATGTTCTTGTTCACTCAAAGAACATAGTGTCTTAGGATGGGAAGGACTTGAGGGGTTAATTGGGTCATCTTGTTGGTTCATACATAATTCCTTTGTGCTAAAGATTAGAACTATCAGAGAGGGGAGAAAATATGTATGTTGTGTGTTTTAAATTATTTCATAGTTCTTTCCCCATTTATTTTTTTCGTTGTCACCAACAATAGAAACAGGTGCAGGCCAGGTACAGAGCACACTCCTCAGAGCTCAGGGCCAGCTTAGATTCTAGGCCATCTAGGGCTATATGTTGAGACCTGTATTTAAGAGAAAAAAAAAAAAAGAGGTTGGGGGCTGGAGAGATGGTTCAGTGCTTCAGAGCACTTGCTGCTTTTTTGGAGCACCTAAGTTCAGTTCTGAGCCCCACACCAGGTGGCTCACACTGTCTGCAGCTCCAGTTTCAGGGACCTGGTGCTTCTGTCTCCTTAGGCACCTGTACTCATATGCGCATACTGAAATGATGAAAAGATACATAGTTAATTAAAATAATAAAAATGAACCTTAAGTAGGTTCAGTTAAAGTTATTACATAAACATTTTGATGCTTATAAAATTTTAAATAATATTGAAAATTAAAGGAAGTTTTACAATTTTATAGGATTATGTTTTCATTCTTTTTAAATGTTATTGTTTTAGATTTATTTTATAACTATTCTGCTTGTGCTTATGTATATGTACTACATGAGGTCAGAAGAGGGTGTGGGATCCCCTAGAACTGGGGTTGCGGATGGTTGTGAGCCACCGTGTGGGTACTGGGAACAGGACATGAGTCCTCTGCAAGAGCAACAGGCTCTTCCCACTGAGCTAGCTCTCCAGCCCTTTAAAAGAATCTCATTTGTAGCCCAGGCTGGCCTCAAGCGTCAGCAGTCCTTGAGCATCAGCCTCCTGAGTACTGAGCCAACACTTCTAGTTGTTGTCCTTCCTGATATGGGTCGTGTTTACATGGATAATAATGGATGCACTATGTGCGTTTAAGTTACATGTTCAGCCATAAATAGAAGATTGCAGGTATTGCAAGTTTAACCTCTGCATTTTTTCCAAGCCTCACTCTGCTCTTCTCAGAGAAAATGCTGTCCTAAGTTTTGTGTTTGTTATTTTCTGGCCTCTAAAGATATGTTTGCTCTTATATTTTGTATCCCTCAACCTGAGGCCTCATTTGCTTGTTTTCCTGCTTTCTATAGTTCATGTGATTTATTTCTCCTCTCTTTGTTGTGTTTCTGTGGTTGTGTTTTTGTCTGTAGCTGCAATGTAATTTGAAGGGTGGCTCTCCACTGGGTGAATACGGCACAGTTTGTTTTCTCCTTGGAGGTTTTGATTATTTTCAGTTTTTCTATTACAGTGAATATTTATGTGTATCATTCTTATTCCATTCATTTGCTGAGTTTTCTGGGCTCTGTAATCGAGAATGGAATTGCTGAGTAGGGGGCACTAACTAGACTCTGTCACCAGTGTCTTAGAGTGCCTTTGTCCTGACTCTGGTGACTTTACTGCTTTTAACTGTTTGGTGGTTATAAGGGATTTGTTTGTGGTAGAGGTCTTATAATTGGGACATGGTGCTGTATTAATTCTTTCTACTGTCTGAGGTTGAGTGGCATCGCTTGGATTTCTCTCTCTCTCTCCCATTTACTTTTGGTGGGGCACGTGTCATGGCAATCACCTTTACCTCTTCAACCATCCTTTAGCCTCTGGACTGCTTCTTTTTCCTAATAAGATAAATTATTTTGACATAAGCCATTTTCTTTTTATTGTTGTCTTTTGAAAGCTTTTTTCTATGTCTGTATATATTGTATAGCATTGTAGTATTGAGTTAAATATGTACTATAAAAGGTAGTGATTACAGCATGTATTTTATGATTAATTTAACTTTTTTTTTAAAATTCAAAGCACAAATTTCCAGAAGAACAACCCAGTTCACAAGCTGACGGAGGAGGAGCTACTGGCTTTCACATCTGTGAGTAATGGCCTCCAGTTACTTTTTCCTTTGGTGTATTGTTGCTCAAGCTGAAACCCCACCAGCTAAGGAAATGGGGTGTCCTGCCAGTTCTCAAGCCACACATTTTCTGCTACTCCGTTAAGAGGCCTGCTTTTCTTTGCACTTGGTTAGATTTGAAGACAGTGACCACATTCTCATTCTTTTCTGTCTCTCTCTCTCTCTTTCTTTCTTTCTCCTTCATTTCTTCCTTTTTTCCTTCCTTCTTTCTTATTTTTGACTCCATGACCTACTGTGCATATAATAGAAAATAATGGTTTGTTGCCTGAATGGATGAGTGCCCAAGTGTTCACAAGTCTTATGCATAAGAGTGAGGGCCCATTTTGATGCCTACCTGGCTGTCTTGACAAAGAGTGTTTTTTTTGTTGTTGGTTTTTTTTTTTTTTTTTTTTTATAGCTTTGGTGCCTGTCCTAGAATTAGCTCCTGTAGACCAGGCTGGCCTCAAACTCACAGGGATCCGCCCTCTGCTGTTATTAAAGGCGTGCCCTACCACCGCAAGAGTTTTGAGCAGGGCCAGGAGAAAGAGATGGCATTGGGAACATAGGAAGCTGTCAACATTCCATACCATAGGACGGACGAGTGGATGGAGAAGTGGCTGTGGGATTTGACAGGGTGCATGGCTGACCTGGAGCACTGTTGGAGTGAATTGCGCATCGTCACCTCCTAGCTTCAGACTAAAGAGGAACAGTGACGGACAGATTAGGACCCAGGCTGGAGAAGAACAGAAATGAAAGGGAAATATGGGAATAGATGTTGGAAGATTTGAGATCAAAGGAAAGAGACGCATGCCACAGAGGACTCATGTGGTTTGGCTTTGTGAGTGGAAAAAGGTTCACGTGTTCTTTCTATTTTATAAATGTGGTCTCTTTAGATGGCCCTGTAGACCAGGCTGATCCTCCTGCACTGCATGCAGAGTGCTGGGATCAAAGTGTGCACAACCATGCCCAGCTTGCTACATACTTTCTTAAATGAATCAAATTCCTCTTCCAGAGGCATCCTTGTCAGAGGATTCGGAACTCCGCTTTCTTTCTTCCTTTCTCATTTTTCAGCTAAGACAAGAGAAAGAACTTTCATCTGGTAGAAAGGAAAGCTGGCTTGTTGGCGCTGTCGTAGGGGCTCTCCTACCCATTCTCGAGCAGGGTAGATGCTGATGCAGGAGCACTCTGGGTGCCTTTATCTTCCCACTCTTCCTGCTCCTCAGCATCTAGGGTATCACCGTACTATGGAGGGCTTTAGCTGACTGTATTTACTTATTTACTTATGACATGTACTGTAAAGAGTTTGGCAAGCCAAGTGGCACAATTGTTTTCAGTGCACATAAAATAACGTGTGTACCTTCTTTCACTCAGCTAGTAACTATGAACTATTTACCGTTCGCAGGTGTTGTGATCTCACTGGGGATACAATATTGAGCAGTGTCTTTTTTGTTCTAGAGTTTTAATTAATTTACATTCCTGAGAGGGAAATATACAGACAAAGAGAGAAATAGCTATTTAATTGAGGTGCTAAGGAGGGCTGTAAAGCAGGGATGGGTGTTGTGTAGCGAGGTGGTCTGGAGTATCTCGGTGAGAAGGTGATTGTCTACCCCACTGAAGTGGGACCTGGTGGAGGACATGGAGGATCTGGCCTGGCTGTGAGCTTGAGGGAGCACCGGAAGTAGAGGGCTAAGAGAAGGCTAGTGCCTAGGCAGCAGGTGGCTGAGGCTTGGTCTCCACTGATGCCCGAGGTTAGCTGTGATGTGGAGGATGACGGAATGTTCTTGCTGGGCTCTGTGGTGAGGTGATCAGTAGTAACATTGTCGTTGTGGGTTGGTCTCATACACATTGTCACGTTTATCATTCCCAGTTACTGTGCGAACACTGCATCACAGTTCGTGTGTGTGTGTGTGTGTGGGGGGATTTTGTTCTAGTCGTTGGATTCTGTCCTTTATCTGTTCTCATTCCTCTGTATCATGAGGCACTTGTGAGCTAGTTAGCTGGTGGTTCCGATGTGGGTAGCTCCTCCCTCACAGCCTGCGGTGAAGGATATAAATTCGAGTTTCATACTGTCCCCACAAGGGCTCTTTGCTTAGGACTTCTGCTGTCTTCTCCTTTGGCTCTCCTCCCATTCAACAATGGCCTGAGTGCTGATCTCTCTGGAGAGAGCTTTGTGACTTCAGAGATTAACTTTCCCAAGTCTTCCCAAGGAGACTCCTTTGTTAATTCCCAGTAAATGTGTCTTTCCAAGAAGTACTTTCCAAGAAGTGGGTTGGGGCTGTGGCTCAGTGGGTAGAACGCATGCCTGGTTTACCCAAAACCCTAGGCTCAGCTCCCAGAAGGACGTAAATGGGTGTAGGGGACTCAACCAGCCAGGGATTTGAACTATCATGTGTGCAGTCTTCCTGTCACTGTTCCCCAAGGAACGTGGAGCAACAAGCTGTTTGGCAGCTACTTGGGGTGAGGCTTTACAGTAGCCTAAAGGTGCAAGGAAGGACGTGTGTTGTAGTCTGGATGCAAATACCAACCCGCTTCATGTAAGGGCCTTCTTCAGTATTGTCAGTGACTCCTGGACCCAACCCTCAGATTCTGGGGGACAGGTGCAGGCTGTGTAACTCTAAGTGTCTCTGAGACAAGATGGGTGGGCACTTTCAGGCACTGTCCCACTTCTAAACACTTGACCTTGTTTTGGGGTCTCTTTTAGCTTAAGGATAGGTACATTTTTTTCCCCATCTTCCTTCTGTTGAAACCTTGCTTTCAAATGTGGAAAGTACATAAAAGTGCCCACGGTAAGTAAAAGTTGGTGTCCTCAGCATTCAAAGATGAGCGGCTTGCTAGGCCTTGGTTTGGAAGAGGACATTATAGTCAGAGCTTTGATTTGTCACAGCAGTCGCTCCCAGATAACCACAGAGACTCGATATTAACTATAAATGCTCAGCCAATAGCTTAGACTTACTTGTTTTTTAGCTAGCTCATATAACAAACTCATTTCTTATCTATTCTTTGCCATGTGGCGGCACCTTTCAACGTGGCGTGTTCATCTTTCTTCTCTCTGTGTGTCTGCTCCTGATTCCCCAGACTTGCTCACACATACTTGGCTTTTTGAGGTAGGATGCAGTTATCTGTCACAAGCTGACCTTACACTCACAATTCTCCTGCCTCAGCCTCCCGATTTCTGGGAGTTTTTTGAGACAGGGTTTCCCTGTGTAGCCCTAGCTGTCCTGGAACAAATGCTGTAGACCAGGCTGGCCTCGAGCTCACAGAGATCCTCCTGCTTCTACCTCCAAAGTGCTGGGATTAAAGGCGTGTGCCACCACTGCCCACCTTTTTTTTTTTAAAGACAAAGTTTAAAAAATGTCCACCAATATATTTACTGATGATTCTCAACCAAATAGTTGGCTTTGTTCTGTATTTTATTGAGTTTAATAATCTAAACATTATTTTTTCCCCAGTGATTTTTGCCAGTGATGTTGTGTTGGTGTAGCATGTTGAAACATACGTGAGGCTGTTTTTAAATTAAGCTTACAAACTGACAGCTTTCCTTATGGCATTTCCATACATACATGGAATACCATAACTCAGCAATCTAAAGCTTGTCCTGAAAGCTGTAGCTCTCCTTGTTTAAGGCAGTCATTATGGGGTGCTGTTTTTGAGAAATCATATCTACATATTTCAGGAACATCAAGTTGTAGTAAAAATAACCAGTATTGTTTGAGAGAACCATTTATGTTGTATCAGCTTGATAACTTAAAGTTAGCTGTGATAACTCTTATTTCCACTCAGATGAGCCAAGTTAGTGACACTCGTAATGCTTTTCATTTCCTTTTCTTTGTTGAAAATACGAACAATTTAGTTCTTACAGGTGTTTCAGTTTTCATTGGCAGAAGTTTTGTTCAAGTGTGAATTGATGTTGGCAGCTTGCCTTCTGACCAGCGGTTCCAAGGTCTCCATGAAAGAAGGAAAGAGTCCTTTGAAAGTTTCACGTTATATTTTATGTATTTTTTCTTTCTGATATTGATCCCCTTCTCTCTCTTCCTTCCCCTCCCTCCCCCTCTTCCTCTCAGTTTTCTTTGAGATGGAGACTTTGACTTTTGAAACAAGGGCTGAGGTACTTTACTGATGGCCCTAAACTTACTGTCCTCAGCAGAGGATAACTTTGAACTTCTGATCTAATGACTTCTTCCTCCCAAGTGCTGAGATTCCAGACAGAAGCCACTAGCCCGCCTTTGAGATGGAGGATTTTTTTTAAATTTTATTTTTATTTTGATCTAGTTGATCTCAAATCCATATTAAAACTGTCTTTTTACCTCAGCCCTCTGAGTACAAATGTTTATACAAATCGCTGTATCAGATACTAATGGAAAAATACTCCAAATAAAATTCAAAGATTGTTCTAGTGGAAAAAAGGCAAAATGTCAAAGATTAAGCTGGCCACGGTGGCATACACCCGTAATCCCAGCAGAGTCAGGAGAATCTGGTCTTCAGAGTGATTTCCCGGACAGCTGGGGCTACATAGAGACAGAAAAACGACAAAGATGTCTTGATGGAAGCAAAGCAGAGCTGCAGCTCTGCTTCTGAGAGAAGCATTGGAGACTGTATGTAGTGCAATAACTCTGTCCAATCAGATCAGCTCTGCTTCTGAGAGAAGCATTGGAGACTGTATGTAGTGCAATAACTCTGTCCAATCAGATCAAAGTGCACAGTGAACTTGAATATATTTTAGTGTATCAGATACATTCGCTAAAGAGGGAACTGTGTTATTTAGATGTATTGTAGTTAAGGTTAATCCACTTATCAAAATAGATCTGCCTGTTAATACAGTATTTTTTGTCACAAGTACAACACAAACTACTCAACCACCATCATGTATGAAGTAAGTGGAGTCAACATTAGTACAAAAACCCTATGTGAAATTGCTCTGCGTTCACATTTATGATATTTATCCCTTTTCTGTGGCAAAAATCAGAATAGTTTCCTCAAGATTT